GCCCCCCCCCCCCCCCCCACCCCCCACAAAGAGTAGCATCTTCAAGGTCCGTTGAAATTGATTTTTTAAAGACAATGTAAAATGAGAAAAAAAAAGAAATTTAATCTTAAAAAGCATTGAATTAATTAGATGGAAAAGTCTCAAAAAAACTCCCTCCGTTCCTGAAAACCTTTTTTCTTTCTTTTTCATTCTTCCCAAAAAAGTTTCTCATTTCTATTAAAAAGTTATTTTTGCCCCTACTAATTCTTAACATACCTATCACATCACATCTATTCGCTATTAATCTATCTATCAAATCTTACTTTCATCCATCATATCAAAAGACATTTTTGGAAACTCAACACCAAAATACACTCCCCATAAATCTCTTAAAAATCAAAATCTTCCATGTTTTTAGGGACGGAGGGAGTAATAGTTTTATGCTAGTAGTTTATTCTTGTAATTTTAAAATAGAGTAAATTCTCAAAATGTTCCTTTCTAATTGGTTGTTTTTTCAAATTGGTATTCAATAAACAACAATTACCAACATAGTCATTTATAATTGAAAAGTATTCCCTAAATAGTCCATGGTAAAAAATGTCTATTGAATGACAGTTAAATAGAGAGTATTTTTGTATTTTCTATCATCTAAATTATGAATACGTCCTCCAAGTGGTCATTTCAAATTAATTGGTTGGCCGCTAGAGGAGTGAACCCACTCCGAGTAGGCTCACGGACTCCATTTCGAGAAAACAATAACTTAGAAATTATCAGTTTGGAAGAATACATAATTATAAAGGAACATTTCGAAAACATACTTTCAATCAAGATGATAGAAAATACCAAAATATATTCTATTTGACTGTCATTTTACAGACATATTCGGTAGAGGAATATATAGGGGAATGCATCTCAAATATAAAGATGTTTTCATTTTGACTTTTAGAAAATGACTATCTAAAAATAACTTGATTTTCTGTAATGTGTAAAAGTAAGATCTTATCGATAGATTATTAATAAAAAAATATGATGCGATAGATAGGTTATTAATTAATAGGGTAAAAGTATTTTTTAGTTGAAAGATGGAGATTTTATGAGACAAGAAAAAAAGAAAAGACGAGTTTTTGGGGCGAAGGGATCAGAGTACTATTATTGATATCCCATAATTAGCTAACATCCGGATATAAATAAAAATAATAGCCCATGAAGTCCTAATCCAAATTAATTCTAAACGAACTTATCGGTTCATGCAAAAAAAACATTAAGTAAAGACCGAAAATAAATTTTCGAAGGAGCTTATAAAGTCGCTCTCCTAATAAAATCTATTTGTATATTACAACAAATAACTAGTAAAGATTAATAAAAGAAAATATTAATTCTCATAATCCTTTCGCCACAGGCAGTCGTCCAATGAGCTACGGCGAACCCTTGCATGGTCGTTCCTTCCCGTCGTCATCCTCACATTCTCTTCCTGACTCATATGTGACCAATCAAATTGTTAGAATGATTTGTTGAGCTCCGGACGTTTCAATTAATCAATTATTGTTATTATTATTAATTTTGATAATTATTATTCCTTGAATTATGGATATATACATGCTTTATTAATTTCCCTAATCCCTACTCATAAGTCCTTACACCGCTTTCAAAAAGAAAAAATAAAAAAGTCCTCACACATTTTTCTATTTTTGCAAACAGCCGCTTTTTCTTTTGACATTTTCCATGGCTAACAACTACGGAGTACAAATTGTGCTGATTTTCCTCAAATCACACACATTCACACTAGGGTTGTCATGCCAGATTTAATTTGACATCAAAAGTTTTATGTGAAATTTGCACTAAATAATACTAAAACATATGTCATTTCTCAATGTATTACTTAAACATTTTTATTGCATATGTGTGTGTGTGTGTAGACACACACAAACGCATAGAAACCATGTTTCGAACACCAATAGTTAAGCAAACTAATATATTGTGTAGTATAAAGTGCATTTAAGTTACTAAGGGGCTGTTTGTTTTAGTCTCTTAATGGTTCAGATGTCTGAATGATTCAGCACTCAATGATTCAGACTGTTTGTTTCGACCTCTTAATGGTTCAGATGTCTGAATGGTTAAGAGATTTGCCTCTAAATGGTTAAATACTATACAGAGTCTGAATGGTTAAGATCTCTTATCTGAATTGATCTGACATTTGCCTCTGAATAGTTA